TTTTTAATAGTAATAGGAATCTATAATAACAAAATTCAACATGCCAGCATTGTTTAAGTATATGTATAGCCTATCCATCCTTAATAATGTCCCGGCGTGCCGGAGAAGATTTCTGTTATCCAAATAGACTGTCTCTTAGCAACAGGTGTTCTCTCCTACCGCAAATACCCGCTGTTTGCGTACGTAGGATACAATGTGCAAGATCGCATTTAAGCACTCGCCCGTGCGGATTGAATCCAGTATCTCGTCTTCGAAACTCATCGACAGATACCAAGTGTTCGCCGATCGTTTAAATTTTGTGGGAAACAGAGTCTATTTTCACTGTCTTGTTAAAATCGTATTAAACATCGTATCGATCGTTGATCGAAAGTTTTATTACGATATTGTAGCCGGCAATGCGCGAGGCAAATGGGTGAACTTGGATGTGGTTAACAAGCTCCTAATCGATTCCCGACTGGACGTACATTAGGTATGCGTTGGTTCTTTCTCGTTTCTCGATCGCGAAAGATCAAGCGGAAGTAGGGGTGCGAGGAAGAAAGAGAAGGTACTCTCCGTCTCGTTGGCTATTGTACCAAGTACATCGAAGATGCTTATCGATGGTACTCGGTCTTCCTTTGGCCAGGGTTCGTCGGCGCGTCGCGTATCCTCTTTCCTTGCCGGCGTTCTCTCCGTCCGTTCCTCTGGACTCGTCTCCCTCGTAACGAGTACTTAGCTTGTTAGCTCGGTTCGTGGAAGCACGTCCGTACAATGAGCTGACCGGTAAGAAACCTAGAAGCCGATGCACCGGTGTTTGCGACCCGCTGCTTTCATGCGCACCGCTTTAATACACACCGCGCCGCGGCCTCTTTTATCGGCCATCGCCATTACCGAGATATACGGTAGCGCCCGCTCAGCTCCAGTCATTTTTCCTCGTTTAGCCGCGTCTCCCGAGCCGTCGAGCATCTCCCTACAATTCCATTCGACGATCATCGACGAGTTTAAAAATCGTGAGCCAATATCCGTGGATCGGTCTCTGCTCGTCGAGACGAGACTCGATTCGAAGCGCATTCGATGGAGACGAGGAAAAGTCGCTGAATCGAATGCTAGGAACGCCCATCGATTCTAAACCGATTTTTCTTGGAACTTGGCCAGGTCGATTTCTAAACTAAATCTAAATCCCCGGATTCTCGGCGGATAATATTTTTTAGTCTCACTGTACGCTTCTGGCTGGTGGCAAGGTCGTTTCAGGATTTCGCGACCTCAAAACGCGAGCCTCGGGCGACGCGGGGTCACGCTTTCCAGCGAGCGATCTCCCTCTCGAATTTCGGCAATGGATCGACGATCGACCGACTACTGCCCGAAAAATCTCGCATACGATGCAACGAAGACGCGCGACGACACGACGTTGCGGTGCACGTAGATACGCGCGAATTCTGTACGCGACACGCGTGTAACGATGACACGGTACTAGGTCACGGTACAAGTGGATACGCGGCTGTAAACGTTATCGTCGCAGACAGATCGCGAATTTGTTTGAATTAGCAAAATAAACTCAACCGCCGCTGAGACGCTGAACAGACACAGACACCGCGACGCAGCCTCTCCGACGCGCGGAACTCGTTTTTATCCGCGATAACGCGCGGACCGGCTAGCTACTCTATGAGACGCTCGCTTCCTCGAAGGGAGCATATTTATTTTCGTTTTCGATGATATTTTCCGCATCGCCGTTTTCGACGAACGCATCCTTTTGCGTAGTAGAATTGAATTGCTGATTCGTTCATCATTACAATTTCAACATTTCCTGTGCATCTAATTGTGATAAAACGAATCTGCCTGAGGCAAAGTATTTGAGAACGCTCACAGAACAGGTGTTTTATTGAACAGTCAGAAACGATTAATTATTTCATTTTCCAAATGTTTTATTCCGCACAAAAGTCCACCGATTATAATAATAACAATAATAATAATAATACTTTATTTCACGGGCAAAGTTCATTATAATACAATAGAAAGAATACAGTAAAAATATAATAAAAGTAATGGACATAAGATAAAGTAAGAGAGAAAGAAAAGAAAACAGTCTTTCTTTGGCGTCGGTCGAATGTAAAGCCGCTAGGCGATCCGCGGTTTCAGTAGATTTCCTCGTGGACGAAGAGAAAGCCGGTCTAATGGATCCATAAATCATCGATTCGGTAAAACGGTGCGTTAGAGAGAAGAAGGCTTCAAAGATTCGACGAAAATCGTTTAGCAACGAGGGTCGGCGCGATGAACGGAGAGATAGGCGGCGAACCGCGTTAACGACTCGCTTCCGCGACCCTCGCAAAATTTACAGCCTCCTTCCTTTCGTTTAAAACGACTCGTTTAAACGGCGCGTATTTTTCCGGTTAGTACGCGATGACGAGTATGCAGATAAAAAGAGTGGCTGTTCGCCCGAAATTGACCCTTTGAATATCTAGCTAATTTCACTTTTTCTCGTAACGAAATTACTCTCCCGTTAGTCATCTCGCTTCCACATGCAGATATTAGGATTATACAACGGTTTACACTTAGTGAGTCACGCATTTGACTCATGTGCTTCACCGTAAATTTCGAGTCATCCGTTTTTCGTTACGTGAAACATCCGATCGGTAGAAAGCGGATAGAAATTATTGTGTAAACGATTCTAGAACGAGTCTTTGATTATTCGTTAAAATATCACAGATTTTCGTTGGTCTTCATGTTTTCAAATTAGACACGCGAAGAGGTCGAAGCGAAGGATTGAGACGCTCGAGTCAAAACTAGTGGACAGGCCCGATTCATATCGGAATCGGTTCTCAGGACCCGAACATCTCCCTTTCAGGAGGTAATAGATATCTGGAGTAGCATTTGGGAAGCGAGGTAATTGGCCGGAACGAAAGCTCCAAAGGGGATTCTTCTTTTTTGTTTAAACAAACTCGGTCGGGAGGTGACCGGAGGCGAGGAGTGGATTCTAACCGCTCGTTCACCTTCCCGCTGCGTTGGTTCGTTCGTTTGGACCGCCTCGTTATCCCTGATTACGGCTCGGAACCAAACCCTCGAGAGAGCCTTCATTGGTGGTCCCTGGGGGTTCGACGATTCAGCGAGCCCGGCCCGCTTTTAAATCATGCACCAAGCCGACAAACGATCATCCCTCCGCCGAAAACGGTAGACTCGGGACTATGATCGAGCGTTCTAAAAGACCGGCAGGGTCCGTTCATTTTTATCTCTTTCTCAGCTCGAGATTGAGTTCGCATGCCTCTACGCGGGAGGCCCCGGCGATGCCTCTTAAATCATACCCCGGTTTACCTCTTCGTCGTTCCACCAAAGATACACTCGACTAAAGAACGTTTAACTTAGAACATTTTTCTTTTCGTCGACGACCTTTTCGGACGCGTGGCATCGTCGTTCTCGTAGAGATCGTACAGATGGAACACGAGGCGCAGTCTGGAAGACGTCCCGTCGATAGAAGGAGATAGAAAATTAATTCGCCCGCTTCGTCTTTGTTTAACTCTTCCATTCCTGGGATACCTATTTTATGTCAGCCATCCAGTTCGCAACGTCTTTTTAACTTTGATGTTAGAGATCGAGGGAACCGACTCTTTTTATCAGCTACATTTCTCAACCAATATCCCTGCTCTATCTACATATAATAATCTACGTGTATCTGTGGTTTGGCCTACGCTTAAGGATGTCTGCCGAAATTTTAAGACATGAGTTAAAAAAAGTGGTCAATATTTGAAACAATGAACTTAGAAAAAATTATAATTACATAGGAGTAAGATTTATAAAATTGTACCACCTGTATTTTTCAATCATAAGGAATTTTTAAAGCATAATTTCTAATATTGTAATAGATAGTTTTGGAATTTTTTTATTGGATTGTACACGACTTGCAACTGTCTATGTGTCCTATGATTCTTATTTCTGCATAATTTTTATTGTGTGTTGTGTTTATGCAAGAATTCATATTCAAATAATTATGAATACAGACATTTCTGCTGTTTCTTTATTACCTAACGCATAGAAGCTTACGTTACTTGTACTTTTTTTTTTTACAAATGACGAACCATTGGTTTTAAAAATCCTACGTTACAGTCTAATTTCGATAAATTCGATTCTGCGACGCAGCCATCCGACTAAATAACGAAGAAAGAAAGAAGGTTGCAGCGTTCGCTCGTAATCTTGATCGCGTTTCCGGAAACGACGTATCCTGCTTTAGCGTGACGCCGAGAATCGGTCGTTCTTGCTCGCCGAGGCGGCGAGCTTTATCGGTGTGTGCTAGTAGTAAGCTAATTAGCGGCGCTCGCAATCAATCGCTTCCGGAGGCGGTTACGAGTCGGCGGCTCCTCGTCTTGCGTCGACCGCGAAAGCGAATCGTTTCGCGCAGGAAACACCGCTCGTGACAAACTCGGTTTTTCCTCCTTCCTGTGCTCCGATTCCGAACCGGATCGCTTCACGCTTATTTTCGTCCTTTTATCCGGCTCCTAATCTTAAACGTATGACCACAAATCCGATTTTGTAAGAGGAATTGAATTAAAAACGAGGCTCGTGGCAAAGTCAAGTCTTCTTCGATCTGCCGGGCAATCGTTCAGAGAGAGTCGCTATTTTCCCTTGTTCCGTTCGAGTTTACGTTTATTTATTTCGTGCCACATCGATCGACGTTTGAAATTAGGACAATTAAGACATCGGCAGACACCCAGCGACTTTGACTGCCGATGCAAAGTCAATCAAACGACGAGAGACAGGTTTTTCGGACTTGGCGTAATCCTTGCACGTTCGGTGCGTTAATTAAGAGTCGGAAAAGCAGAATCACGGCGCGACGCGGCGCCAGAATGAATCATCGCGTGACGCGTTTCGTTTCGCGTACGTCTTTGTCGGACGCCGTGCCGCGTGCATCGTCGTTTAGAAGAACCGCGTTCAGATAATAAAATTCGAATCAGAACCCGAACCCGCTTACATAAAGATCCCACCGCGGTGGCTTATCGCGCGGAGTTCGTCGAATCGACGCTCGTCAAATGTCCTGCCGGCACCTGCTTCCGTTGTTTCCACCGAACGGAGTCGTCGCCAACCGAGCTCCGAGCGTGCATATAGTTATTTCATTTATTATGCGAGAGATGTTCATCTTACATAACGATCAGCAACGTGCTCGATCATCGCGGTCGCTTCCTCGAACACTTCGTCGGATCCGCGACACCTGCGTCTTCGTCATAAACTCATGAACTCATTCATAAACGATAGTTGTTCGGTTACTCGCTTTATTAGATTAGCTCGTTACAAAATAAAATCTGATTCACGTGGCTCGTGTCGAATGAAATAGTCGTGGCGATGGTCAGGCGGGCACGAAATCGCTGCCTTCGGTAGCCTCGACTTCCACGATGTCGGACTCCCTGGAACCGTCTAGACGCTCGATCGCGTGTACCAGACGTTTCTTCAACTTGTTCAATTCTTTGCTCGAGGCGATAGGAACGAGCGCGTTCCAACCGGACGATTTCGTCTCCGAGATCCCGGATTTTCCCCAGACGGATTTCAGTAGAGTCGTCAGTCCCGTCTCTGCGATCTCTTCCCAACCCTTTTGGCAGAATTTCGCAGTTTAGGCAATGAAAGGAATTTTCTTAATCATGATAATAAGCATTTCACTCTTAATCTTCTGTACGTCTATAGACCTCACGTGCGCGTTTTATCTCTATGCAAGTCTTTAGTGTAACTGAGCACAATTTTTAACCAGTTAAGTGTGTTTGACGACTATATCCGTCATGGAAGAATGGCAGAATTTTGTGTTATGGCTATATCCGTGAATAAATTCATTCATTTTCTAAAATAAAGTCGTCTTTTCGACCCAATATTTAAACAGCGGTACTTACTCTGTGTTTCACGACTATATCTGTCATCGCTTGATTATCGCGACACACACTGGGGCGCACTTTGCAAAATTATCGACACAGTTAACTGGTAATAGTTAAATAATTAATACTCACGAGTCGATCGGCTAGACAGGATTCGAAGCCGATGGCTGCGTTCAACGCTGCGTACTTTTCCTCGGCCACGTTGAGTCGCAGCAACAGCAACAGCAATGCTACGCCGCATCGTAGCTCGCGACCGGTTCGCTCTCGTTCCTGGTAACGGAGAGACGATTAACGACACCGAACGCGACGGCAATCGCAAACTTACCGCGGTCGCTTTCGCGAGTTCCTCGAGGAGGGCGAAGATCGCCGTGCAAGTCGAGTCGAAAAGGAACGGCAGTCCAGTATCGGTCAAAGATTTCTCGTTCCGTTCTCTCACGGTTCGCAGCATCTTCCTCTCGATGTTTCTCAACTGGCTTGTCAGCAGTCCGATCTCGTTCTATCCCCGAAAACGATCGACTCTTTTCGAGCGCGTCCAACGAATAAAATATGGCATGACCCATTCGTCAGAATTTAAATAAAGAAGACTGAATTTCTTTTATAATTCGAGTGTAATAATTTATTCGTGCATGCGTAATGCACATTCTTCATTTTTAGAAAAAAAAAGATTATTTGTAAGAATTTCATTGCGTCGAATGGGCCACACCTTACTACACCTACTCACAGTAATCCTGTCGATCTCACGGCGAGCTAGATAGTGAGCCTCTATCCGTTGATGCACCTTTCGTCAATTAAATATTCAATTCGTACTCGAATTCGTTATATCGCGAGGAATTACGTACCAGGTGGATATGATTCTGGCCGATGTTCGCGGTCAGCTGGCTTTTCCCTTTCTCCCTGAGTCTGTCGATCAACCGGTGGACGACCAAAGTCGTGGACAATCCATCGTTCGATTGCACCCGATAACGGTTACTCGTGTTGCCGGAAACGATGGTGACCGTGTGACCAGAGCACGCGTGTCGTAGTCCCACCGCGTTCGAACCTTGTTTCTGAATCTGATCTCCGCTGAATTCTGGTTTTTATGCAAAATAAAAAAAAATGTGTCTGCTTAAAAAATCTGCTTTAGATAAATAATTTTTTTATATTTTATATATCAAAAATTGCGTCGTTACGAGCATTTGCAATTTCTGTTCTAAAACCGCAGTTCAGTAATTATCGTAATAGGTATTAAAAAAAATGTAGCAAAGTAACGAGGGGGAGAGAATATTTACCGGGAAACAACTGGCTGAAGGGAAGCAGGGAATCGTTGGTTTTGATTACGGTCGAGAAGGTGGACGCGTTCTCGGGCGGGCAATTTCTCAGCATCATCTTAAGCGGTAATTGACTGGTTCTTCGAAGCGCCCTTAGGATACCCGCGTCCGTACGATAAGTCACGGTCACCGCGATCTCCGAGGAAATCGGCGGCGAGTCATCGTTTACGTACACCTGCGTGCTCGCCACGTGCCGTTCACCTAAAACGTTCTCGCGATAAATCAACTAGTACCCGTGACTTAACAACGAAAAAGGAACAAACGAATCACCGACTCGGCTTTAATCATCGAACGCGAATCTATGAAAAATCCGGGCGCATTTTTACATTTCCCTAACGAAGAAAATTTTTATCGTAATAGCTACATTTTTTTTTAATATTGACGATTATCTCTTACAAAGATTTGGTAAAGCGTAAAAGTCGTTGGTCGTGATTAATGGTTTAGCGACGTCGACGCAGACCTCGATGTCTCGGAGAGCCGCGTACGAGGACAGTTCTATCGTTACGTTGCAGGCGAGCCGATGTCCAAGTGCCTCGGTTTCCTCTTCGGGACGATCGTTCGCTGAGCGAATTCGTGGCTCTAAATCTGGGGACGCGTTCAGCGAAACGATCAGTTCCGCATCCAATCCGGCATCACTGGCTTTCGTCTCTATCGAACAGAAGCGAATCATTTCTGCACGATCGGCGATTGGTCTCTGATTCTCACCTGTGTCTTTGCTCTTCTTCAAAAGAGCTCGTAGTTCTGACAGCTGCTTTTCCGCGGCCGCGTAATCGTAACCCCGCGGATGGAGCGGCGGAGCGACGAACAGACTCGGCTCCGAGCCCAGGTAGCAAGCCTCTAATCGTCCGTCGTCCGACAAAATCACGATCACGCCCTCCAAGTTCTGTAAAGTTCGATATTACACGTATTATCGTCACATGTTCCATGATATCAAGGATATCGTCGGCCACGTGCGAGTCTCTTGCCAATTAACCGGGAATCGGCATCGAGCACTCGGCTCTTCTATCTTCCGGGAAGACAACGACAACCTTGCTCGACGCTGTGCGGTCGGTGATAACGGGAAGATAAGCACGGCACGATAATTGCCGAGGACGCTTGTCTTTCTCCGGTTACCCTTTCTCGCTGATCCATTGTTTCTCGTTCTCGCTAATCGTTGCACTTGTCAAGACTCGTTTCTCCCGAAGCCCTACACGTCGAGACCTGCGCCGGACGATAGGTTCGACTCCTTTTTATCTCTAGATTCATGACTCGGTGTCGTACAGAAAATGACTCGAACCCATCGCGACGCACGGCAAGTCTCATCGCCTCGAGGTCTCGGCATTCAAATCGAAACATGTTGGTCGTATCCGTGGAAGCTCATTTTCGAAGGCTTACCTGAAGCTGAACCCTGGCGACGGTGACGGGCGCGAAAGGCAATTGCGCCGACCACTTGAGCGTGCTGCCCTCGTAAATCATCAGAATGCTCGTGTCGGCGATTACGAGAGCCATCAGGTTCCCGTCCGGTTCTTGCGGAATACCGGAAACCACAGCGAACGATTAGTTTGAAACGCGATTCCGAGTGCTACCCCTGGCAAAAAGTGTTCGATCAAACGTGTTGGATGTAATACGTCATAGTAAACTGCAGTGTACGATATTTAAAATCGATTCGAGACAATTGTTATCCCATCTTCATTTCTCATCGGTTTTCATTCAGTCGTCGAACGAGAACTTCTTGCCAGGCCAGCGATCGGTCGCTCGTAATTACCGACGACGTAAGCGCGAAAGCAAAGCGGCTTGTACTCGAGCCTCTTGGCGTGCTTAATCGAAGCGCAGTTGTCCTTTAGACAGTACAAGTGTCTCTCGCCGAGGACCACGATCCCGACCTCGAAGCTGGTCAAAGCGACTGCCTCGATGCCGAGGACGGCCTCGCCGATGTTGAAAGTCCAATCTGGCTCCAGGCGGCTGGCCGCCGTGCGCTCCTCGCCGACGCCTCCGGCGTCCTCCCTGGTTCTCGTCCATTCCGCCATGCTCTGGTACCTTGGCAACGTGTAATTACGCTGGTTACACTCGGCTCACAATTATTATTCGCGTGAGACCGCGAGATATCTTCACAACTTATTGATACCTACTACGTCGTTAATAGTTAATAATTTATTCGCAAACGGGCAAACGTCCTTTTCACGCGAGACGCGAAATATAATAGTATGGGAGACCTCGATGAGTATTACGAAAGGAAAATACGAACACCGACGTTTCGTTCTATGAAAAAAGAAAAAAGTAATTAAATACGTGGCATCAGCGCGTGCCGAGATTAAAACGATATTGTAATCCCGACTCATTACATTTCAGCCGAAAATAAACACAGACGAAGTACGCATCGCCAGGTGGTGTGTGTCTGTGTGCGCAACTAAAATACGATGAGTCGCGTGTACGTGCCTGTAACACTCTAGAGACCAAGATGAACTCGCGGTAACGAAAAGGTCGTATCGCGAGACGTAGACGATCGGTTCGGCCAGCAGTCTGTTCTTGAGAACCTGGCTGAACGTGTACACCTCCTGCTCGTAAAAAGCGAGCGTGCCGTCCAGAGATTGAACGCAGAGGAAATCCCTGCCGCGGACTCCTCCGAACGGTCCCGTTGTCAGCGAGGCCGGAAACTTGGCCAGTTGGTGCTCGTAAGCGATTTTCAAATCGCAACGATCTCCTGTCGACCGGGTAGCATTTTATTTTTTATTCAAGAGACTCGAAAGAACGACGTTAGAAGAACGCATTTTTTATAACGCAGTTTTTCTGTAATTGCATCGAATTAATGATTCTAATAGCTGCGGGAAACTGAACGATCTCTTCTGACGTGTCTCTGACTCGAATCAATTACGAAACACAAGAGAAAACGTAGAACCGTATTCAGTAGACTCTTCAGCCAGGACCACGTTGTAAACGATCAGCTTCGTCGGTGTTAATACAGCCAGGCACAGATCCTGCGATCCCCTGTAACGTTTAGTCAGTCATACCTTTCCTGTAAACTCGGTTAAATCTCCTCGTGTACTCACGAGACGAATCTACCAGCTCCGATGTCCACGATGCAATCGGCAATACGAGTTTCGATCATCAAATCGGTGGATTTGTAATTAGTAGCCGATTTCGTCTCGTCGTTCCACTCGGACGAGGGACAGTACATTCTTAAATACCCCTCGTGGCTTCCTACCACCAGAATATCCTTTTTCTCTTCTCCGAAGAACGCAGCTGTGCCGAGGCTGTGCCTGTCGAAGGTCTCGTTCGTCCCGCATCTCGTTCGCCACCATTCTTTCGTCTTGAACAACGACATGGTACTTGTACACTGTGCGCGATACCTCGTCGACTCTCTTACACCGTTACCATGGTATCGTTGCTTCAAAACATTCGAAACGGATTAATAGTACGAGCAAAGGAATCGCTTTCTGTCGATCGTTCTGGCTACAAGTTGAAATGCATGTCTGAAATTCTTTAAATAAGCAGTTGTTATCGTATTAAACACGGATGCGATATTCGTAGGAAAAATTTTAACAATAAATAATTTTATTTATTAATCAATTATTGACGAAAAGAAATTTTGTACAGAAATTGTAGGCACTGACGTTCGAAAAAAAAATCTTTTCTTCTACCTCGAATATTTCAGAGAAATTAGAAGGAGGATTGCATAGGACTTTTTTTATATCTGACAACTACAGCTACAACTTTTATCGGAAGTATTTTTCGCTAAGATGAAAAGGATTTTTTGCAATAAACATTTCTCTTGATTATTCTTTGACAAAACATGTGGCAGTGCTTATCTTTATTATCGAATTTGCGTCAGGCGCGACGGCTTTGTTAATTATCGATCTGGCGGACAGATGGCGCGTCATGTCGGGTTTGCAGTTGCGCGTCCACATTTCTTGCATTATTTGCTCGCGTCGTATCACGTTCCGAAGTGGTGTAGTAATCTCTCGATCGTTAAATTCGAACGAATCGAGGAGATTCGATAATATGGAGCCTCAAGACGTTTATTACAACAAGGCGGAGTACGTCGAAACGGTACAGTTCAGACGAAAAGAGAATACGTTAGCAAAGAAGTGAAAATGGGTACACAGGATCTTCCTAACCTCAGTTGCTTTATAATTCGGTCGTTTGACAGGCGTCTGGCAACAAGGTAAGCAGACAGACGGTTCTCTGCGGGTCGCAAAATATCGTATTACACGGGAAAGTGATCGTGCAATCGGACGCTATAATCAGGGGCGATCTGGCGAACGTCCGGACCGGGCGTTATTGCATTATCAGTAAAAATGCGATCATAAGGCCACCGTTTAAAAAATTCAGCAGAGGGTTAGTAAACTGACAGCGTATTAGGTCGAGGAAGCGTTTCGAATGTAAAATGAAACCGTATATCGTCTGTTCAGCGTTGCCTTCTTCCCTCTGACGATGGGCGAGCACGTGTTTGTGGGTGAGAGGGCAGTGGTTAACGCAGCAATCATCGGTTCATACATTTACATAGGGAAAAACGCAGTGATCGTACGTACACACGGATTAGTTCGTTGATTATTTATTCAGTAAGTTCGAAATAAGAGTACCGTGCTTGTTCGATGAATACAGGGAAGGAGGAGCGTACTAAAAGACTGTTGCTACATCGAGGATGGAGCCGTGGTTCCGCCAGAGACCGTGGTGCCTTCGTTCACTCGTTTCGCTGGGAATCCTGCCAAATGCGTCGAGGACTTGCCTGACTGCACCCTCGATCTAATGCTGGAATTCACAAAAAATTATTACCAACACTTTCTACCATCCCGCGTTCAACCTACCCCGCGCGCTATATGTACAGAAAAACAAGTCTCGTTACACTAGCCGATGTTCGTTGAATCTAATCCCGTCGAATCGGTGAGACCGTCGTCGATCTTATCGTTCCGAACCTTGTCCTCGTCTGTCCAAGTTTCTCTCATAATTTTATCACGAAACGACACGATGGGGTCAGAGACGAGCATTGGCTCAATCTTTTTGTACCAAAGAAACTCTCCGAGGAACACGACTACGCTGATCAGCGTTCCACATCCCATCGACATCAACGCGAAATAAGATTCTGTGAATCCGATGCTGATATAACTCATCTGCCCCTCGCATTTGGGCTTCGCCGTGAACAATCGGTACTCAGCGCGATACTTAAGCCCAGATTCGCGTAACAAAAGGGCTCTGAAAATATTCGTTCGTTGAAGGTGATACAGGACATTTTTTCTATCCATTGTTCGACGATTGAACAGTGTGAATTCGGCAAAATGTTTTTGGCCAAGTCTAATAAAATAACAGGTAATTAAAACTTTAAGGAATTTAAAAAATCTTATCCGATATCGTACTACTCCTGGTCAAAAACTTCTTGCTAGAAATAAGAGTAAGAGTTACGTGTTCCTGATCATTTCGGAATACGGTGACCGAGCTTGGATCACCAGAAGCGGATACACTATGTTCAAGAAATCCATCTCCATGATTCCGCATTTCTCCTCTTCTTGGTACGTCTCTTGCATCATTTTGTACACCGCGCTGCATTCCGCATGGAAAGCCACTAGCTCTTGGCGTACACGTCGTGTTCCTTCCTCGATCGAGACCCAGGGACCTGTGCCCTCCGTATCGAGCTTGTGCGCCACGATAGCTTTCCGCACCGGATCTTGAAAGTGCTGCGCGATCGAGTAAATCCTTAAGCGAGATCATTGCGATGGATCAAGCCCAGACAGTACCTTGAAATAGTATCGGTTGTAGACGACGTCCTGAACGATCACTTTTAAAGGGCTGTGGTAGAGATCAGTGGGAGTTTTGATGGAATCGGTGGTCGATCGGACCAGGGCGACGATCATGGCCGTGTAAGCAGCGTACAAGCTCAAAGCTGCTATTAATAGCATCAGGGTGACGATTCTTGGTGAAATACGGTAAGGCTCGTAGGAGTATCCTACATCGAGTCGGTAAAATAATAGTAGTAATAATAATAATAATAATAATGATGAAATCGTCTGGTCTCCCGTGTATTTATATACGACGTATCGTTACATTTTTCGGGATAAATGCGAGCATAGGAAATTCCTCTAGAAATGACGATGATTTTTAAAAAATATTATGTACATAAGTGAGTTACACGTTTAACCGCTCATGGGTTCAATTAACACTATTCGCGTCCGTGAGTTAGTCGTACATATAAGGAACCCGGTGATCATAGTGACTCGTCAAGTGATTTTATTAACGATGTTTTCCGCTTATCTTTACGAGCCGTTCGGCATGTTTTTCGGAGTTATGAGAACGCCTTTCAACAAGCGATTACGACATCGTTTCAAGCTTTTAATTCACACGGCATTTACGATGCTCCGCTCGTCGCTTATATCTAAGCGACGTGGCCGAGTTACCTGACGTTCGAACGTGCACGAGAGACGTTAATATAATTTCTTAGAACGCATCTGCCAGCCTCATGCTTCGATCCTCAGAATCATTTTACGCAACGCGTATTTCTTATTTCGTTAAGTGTAGAACGAAAGAAATGAATATCGAACCTTGTTGCGCGACCGCTCCCAGCACGACCATAAAACAATCGCTGAGCGTGAGCTCCGACGAGTTGAATTGTTTCCAGTACTCCGAGAAACCGCGTTTGTATTCCCACTTGGAGGATAGATACAGCAGGATCACTACTATCAGCAGAAGCACGCCGACCGCTGCCCAGACGGGTCGTTCGAACGGCAGCGTGAATATGTTGCTCACAGTCGACAGCAGCGGTTTACGAAATATAAAAGACGGGCTGCGATGATTCATTCGCTAAATTCAATTTGCCTAACAGACTCATTTCATACTGATTACGAATCTTTATGCAAAATAAAACTCGTAACGTGTCGATTTATAAGAAGGAGTCTTAGTAAGCGTTTTTATGTACTGCATGTGGTCAGTGCAAAAGCTCTGATTGTAACTTCGGTTTAAATGTTTTGCTATAAAAATAGTATCGAAAAATAGTAATTTCAGATACTGTCGATTTGTACATACGACCTGCTCGTGGACAGGGAAAAATTCTACTATAAAGTATGAATGAAACAACATCTTGTTTCAAATCAGGGAAGAGCCTTTACGCCGACCCAATATTTTCTATGAACGCATCAAATCGGCGATCTACCGATTACGTACTTGGTGCGGATGTACAGCTGTACGTAATCGACCACTCCTAAACGTTCTTGGGTAATGTACGCCGCCGTGCCTCCGATATCGATTTCCCGTCGATCCAACATCCCTATCATGCCGTTCCACGACCCATTCGAACTCCGATAGCCCCAAGTGTTCGTCACGCGAAAGCTAAGACTGTCGAAACACAAAATATTTATTGTTGACTATCGCGCGTAAAACGATCGGTAAGATAGTTTTTTTTTTTAATGAAGCGTGAGCGTAGATCATTCGCGTTAATGCGTGTGTCCGTAAACTCACGTTGCGTTCATTCTCTCGGTTATGTATAGCAGATTCGGGTAAGTGGCTTTCGCAACGAGGTCTAATACCTTGTCTTTGTAATCAGTTAAATGGTTGATGGAATCGGGATCGGTCAACTGCAAATGCAACGTCGATTTATCGCCTCGTACAATCTCGGTCATAGATTTTCCGTATCGCAAGCGTTCGTCCTCCGCGGCATCGAAACCCGTATTGTACTTTACTATCATCGATAGAAGTTTCAATGAACAATCTCTGTGCTTTAAGTACAATAATCGATTTTTATCGTTCATTTTGAAAAAGTAAAAATAGATACAGTTTTGTACGATTGGTTACATGTATTTTCAATTTTTGTCCGGTTATCTTATCATTTTATCCGCGTCGAATAAATTGTTTGCACGTGGGATTAGAATGAAGAATTGAAATCGATCTTTTCGGATTGCGAACGCTGCGAGTTGGAAAACGTCGAAGTACCACTAAAGAAGTCGCCATCGGTGTGCCCTGTAAATCTCGCCTTCGTCTGGAGGCCGCGTGAAAATTCGCTGTCCGTAGACCGTCGGTGGCCGTCCAGTTTCCTCGATTTTCCAATATCGGTCGGTGAAACCGACTCGGTCTGTAAATAGAAATTATTTCCGTGGACCCGTCCACCTCGAGCCTTTCGGCCAGAATCACCTCGCTGTCCGGATAAATGGCCATATCCTCGAACGTTTCCTTTATCTTAATCGAGTACGAGTCGCTGATCCGATCGCGAAGCAGAAGCCATTTAATTGGAGCCATAAACATGCCACTCGCGTTCGCCTGACAAGAATAATTACAGAGGCCGATGGCATCTTAGATCGTGATATATGCACTGCGGATTTTTGTGCACAATACAAGATTTATGACGGTCAATCAGGACACTATATGTGTTTCGGATAAAGATTTCTTTCATCATTTTATAAATTTTATTTGTCATCGTTTGTCATACTTTGTACACATTTCATCTGTTTATGCATAAAATCCGCGGTCGAGTGATCAACGTTTTAAGACGCACCACTCGTAGAAGTGGAATCGTGTAATCGCAATCGAGGTCCATCGCGTATAAAATTTGATGATCTCGATTGTCATGTGATCGTTTTACAAACTGGTCAAGACTCCCGTGTATTTCGTGTCCCAATCCGTACGCAGACATCATTTTCGAGATTTCGATCGCTTCGTCTGCAAATCGGACGATACGATCAGTTTATTTAAAAGTACTTCTCATTTATTTTTAATATTCTGTCTGTTAGAGTTCAGCTGAATTGCCAATGTTTCATCATATTTATCAAAACATCATCACTTATTCATATTGTCAAATGTTTGATTAATCACGAAAATGAATTGAACAGAAAATGTGCGTTTTTCGAAGTGCAAACATAATTAAGTCTAAATATGTAGTGCATTTTTCTTTATTTGGATAATAGACATTCTACTGTACTTTGCTCGAACTTTTACCTTGATCGAATTGGCAGACATACAGCGATACTCTAACAGGTGGAAACAAAATCGAGATCGCATCGTGAATCAATTGAACGGACGACGCGTCGAACGCGAACACTCGAGCGTTGATCGTGAAAAGTATAATAAAAACTCGTGTGAGAAGCGACATAGCTCCGAAACGACTAAAACGGTGTAACAGTGAAATCGATGGGAATGCAGTCTTTCTTTTCAAAGACCTGTAATACCGTGGCTTCTGAAATATTTAACGACAGTGTTTCGGGATTCGTTGTGAGCCCATGTCGTCTCCTGTTAAAAAATTATACAACGGATGTCATCGATCGCTTTTGGTCTAAGGTGTAATTTCGCCGTTGCTAGAAACTACGAGCGTAGACACGTGTAATTCCGTGTCGTGGGACACGGAAAGAAACGTTTCAATTTTTCATTAAGAGACGTTATTCGAGATTAGAGAAAATTTGATTCTCAAGGTTCGCGACTGAGAGAAACATTGGCATAAAATAACGATTCGTTTTCTCAATCGATCATTCGGTCAGCCGAGGATAAACGTGAACGATCGGCCGATTAGTTGATTAAGTCTTGCCGCATGATTATCAACAATGATAAGGGATAAAATAATTTGCGAACTTTACGCGACAGGTAGTAAACCTCTGAGACCAATAAAGCTCAGACTTCTCTGATTCTTATCGTTTCATCGTTTAAATACGTATTCAGCTTTTAACCCTTAACGCTCTGACTTTTAATTGCGAATATCGACCGGCAACTCCAATTTATTCTCATCATACTTCGACTTGCAAGGTTTTCAGTCTAATTTTAAATGCTACAGTGACGTATAAATAATAAGATTGAAGTCATTCAAAACAATCTTTATTCATCTCAAGAGTAATATAATTTTTATTACAATATTTATATTAATTATACTTGAGTAGCTTAGGAGACACACTTGGAGTGTTAAGGGTTAACACTATTTCAAATTTTCGCCTAAAATTATCAGCGATTTAATTAATTAATTTAACAACCAGTATAGGAAAAGTCAGAAATTTAATTGAATAAGTATTAAACTAATAATAATAATAATTTTAAGCTAAAATTTGAGGTGTCTTTTGACGCCAGTAAAAATATTATTAATACGTCGTTTTATAAGAAAAATGCATAAAATTTGCAATATATTCATAAGACTTATAGACGGGGTAGTACAAAAATTGTGAAATTCTTTTATTCTATATAACGTTAAGCATTTTTCCTTGGGACTCGATCCAATATCCTTTGTGCAAACGTTAAGCCGATATTAATACAATCGTTTTTTCATTTTCACGAAACAATGCGTAAAAGATGCCGCATCACGTAGTTAATTAAAAATCCATTATCAAAGCTACAGATGATTGACGGGCCGCATTAGAAATTAATTTTCTAGGTGCAAGTACTTATCGGATTCGTCGACAGTAGCCACTGTGAATCCGTAAAGGACGAAGTCGATCTAGTTTGAAGAACCGGGGCTGATTTCTGAAACGCGACTGTGACTAATTATAGATAGACGATACGATGTTACGCGTACGTGAGAAGAGGTTCTCGCGAGTGGAAATCTGACCTTGCACGCTCGTAGCACCTTCGCATCGGTGTATCGCGTGACGAGTTAGTGATTGACACGTGCGTCGAGCCCACCAGTTTATCCTTATCACCGGCTGCTCGTTCGTTGCTCGCCAGGGTAGGTGGTGGTGGATCGCACGAATCCCGGCGTGCATCGAACCACGTCAAACCGCGAGGAAGCTGTTGTTATCTCGATTGTAAATCGGGGATCAGCGCACGCGATTAGACGCGTGATCGAGCTAGGAAAAAATTACATTGCTACCTGCTAATTCTATTGTCTAGAATCTCTGCAGTTTTTCCTCCCTTATCGTCAGACCGGGGGATTTTTATACGAGACCTTTTTCATCAATTAATGCTTGCGACACGTCCGCGGTTTCTGATCTATCGGATATTTTTATGCGTTACATGCATCCTTTGTATTCTCTTATTGTTCCACGAATCCATTAAGTCCAATCTGCGTATCATAATAACTGTAAAAGTCGGTCTCACGCGTGTCGGCGGAATTCTAACTCGACTCTGTGACGCAACCCTCGTTTCACCATTTCTCACCTTCCCACTTTTGTTCATCGTTCGTTGCTTCTAGAAAATTATTCTATCCCGAGACTAAAGGTTTTGCGACGTGATATCGATGATACGATTTTTATTATCGACACGTATTCGTTTCGTTGGTGTTTACGTTTTGGGCGTCGCGGAACGTGGAACGGTTTGACGACCCATTGGTACGAGGTCGAGACCAGCGAGCGAGCACGAACGGCACCGGGAATCGTTGATTCCCATCGTCAACGAGCCGAGGTCTCGTTAATCGTTAAAAGAGACCGTTCGTGCTCGGAATAAACTAGTAGAAGATCGGTGACGCGTAACAAAACTCGATTGACCCGTCCGAGTCTACGTACGAACCAAGTTCAGTGAATCAGATTCACGTCCGATCTGCGTCTACGATTGGAAATGTTCAACCCGACGAGCGAACTCGTCCCGAAATCGTCGATTTTTACGAAATAGAACGTGACGTCAGTTTCAAGGATAAACACGTCAGTTTAAAAGATTAATAATTCCTTTCATCGTTTAAGTATTGCTGTGTAAATAGTTTTATACACGGCGAGTATCCTTTGTGTAAACTTTGCCTGTAGAAATCAAATACGGAGGATAGTTATTTCTGAAACGCAAGTGTTAACGACTAGCGTAAAGACCAAGGAAAGAAGCAAATAGAATGAAAAGTACATAAGCGATGAGTGTTTGATAACTTGGAAATCGAGTGTATCCGTCGCCGTTTTACAAAAGGAATTAGAGTAATCTCGTATGAAAATTTGGCTTAGGAACGAGGAACGTGGTAATTGAATCGTACGTGGCAACGACGAGGAAAAAGCAAAACGAGAGCGACGCATGAAGGAGGATTGTTTATCCGGCAGATATTTTTAAAATCGAACGTTATACGTTTCGCAAAAGGGATTAGAGTAGTTGGTATCTCGTTTAGGTGCGCGTTTATCTGCGGCGCGTAGAGGAGGGACGCGTGATCGGAGACAGAGAAAATTCGTATCGCGTCGCGTAGGGAACAGAGGGCGAAAATGTTTGATTTCTCGCGGGAATCGGATCGGGGACCGCGCCGATACGCGTGGGGCAGGCATGGTGGGGCGGGAAACGCTTGTTCTAATTGGTCAACATGCACTAGGTGTCTGCGGCTAAGTGTCGCGAGTTCGGCAGCCGTGGCCACAGTAGCAACGAGGTGAGCGCGCGAACGAGATCGTCAAGCCGATTTACAGACAGAGACATCCGGACATGGCCACCAACGGCGTCGTCTTGGATCGGAAATCCGACTTGAAGAAACCACCAGAGGTGTTCGAGTCCGAAGTACCGATGCCCTCCGGTGAGTCCTTTCGGCCCTCGAGCCTTTACAAACTTACAGATTATTTCGCTATTTTTCTACGGAGTTAAAAACATCGTGCGATCTTCGAATCGCTAGTCGAACGAACGTAACCAGCCCGAATTTAAGTATCGTTTTCCTTTGCAAAAAATTCGTGTCCGTGTTAATATTTTACTTTATAAATTCCTTGTTCCCGACTTGGAACGTTAATCGTTTAACAACCTGTTATAATGTTTCGACCCTCAGACTTGGTATTAGCATTCAACGATAATCGTAAACTATTCCGGGAAGTTTGAGCGCTCAATCGATTGCAATGCCACAATAGCACGTAAATTGTAAACAAAGGGAAAATTACTTGATCCGCTTAGAGACAAATTGCACGATGATTTAACTCTGTGTCACAGCGACGAATTGATTCGTCAACACGTTCAATTTCACCATACGACAATTGGTTTTAAACGGAAGCGTGGTGTCCCATGATCGAAATGGAATAGACAGAGTAAATCGATATAATGGTTTTCTTGGAAAGTGGGAATATATGGAAACTTATTATCGAAGAATCTTTTATTTACTCGTGTATCGACGACATACATATGAGAATAACGAGCGTCTGGTTTATCGATAATTATTAACATCTAATATACTAAAATTATATGTATTAAAAATAATTATATGATACATGAGGCTTCACTTTCTGGGCGTATATCTAATATAAGTACTTGTCAAGATACGCGCGGACGATAATTAAAAGGTAATTACAGTTAGGCTACTCGAGAACGTGATTGCCCGACACCTTCACCAACGCCTACAAACGATTTTTATATCAGATTCTCCGTACAATAAAATAACGATGATAATTCTTTTAGACAATCCGTAAAAAGTACATCAAAATGAATTTAGAGAATGCATTAATAATTCAATGAGCTTCGTCAAACGTCTGCTATTAAGACAGAAGAACGGTTAATTATCTTATATGAGCTTTGATTCATCTTGTACATACTTGCGGTCGGAGATATGTAATTATCCCTAACAATAAGTAGAATTGGTAATTAATTGCGTTTACGTTCCCGCGTCGAAGGAGAAATTCAACGCGAAACAGACGACCACGTTCACTTTACGTAACGAGAAATTCTGTATTTGCATAACGACCTCTACTATCTAACATCTGGCGTGGCAACTGTCGAAAAAAATTCACCTGAAAGAGAAGCTTGCATTGCCGATTCGTGATTTCTTATCCTCGAGAACCTGTCCTTTCGCGATTCTCAGATGGGTGAAACCGTCGCTGAAACAGAGGCCGCGTTAGAAACGAGGGAACGTAGTCTTTCACTGAAATATATAGTTGCAAGGCGTTCTTTATAGTCGGTGGATATCTAAATTCTTTCGATCACTTAAAGAAGTACGTGACCGATCAGGTGTTCCAGTGTAACACTGTTTTCCACTTGTTGTTTCTCAACGAACTGGAAAGTGATCGGAAATCGTCTGACCGTTCGTCTCGACGATCTCTTTGTGAAAATATTTCTCATTCGATTCTTTCGTGCACAAACATCCGTCGTCTAATTGCAAAACATCCTCTGTAACATACCCCTCGCAGCTCGCGACTTGTTAGCATGCTGCTGCGACTCTCTTCCCATTCTGGAACGGGACGCAAATCCAGGAGAGATAACTATGCACAGGGTGAGTCAGGAATAACAAATAATAATAATAATAATAATAACACTTTATTAACGGGTAGAATTATAATAATAATTAGTACAGTTCTGAGCACCAGAATAAGAAAAATACAATAAGACATCAGAATAATAATAGTAATAAGATAGATAAGATAAAACATCGGAATAATAATAATAGCAATAAAAACAATGTAATGATCCTGCCGAGAGAGAACTATTTCGCACAAACACAAGGATGCGTAATTCACTGATTGTGAGAAATACAAAAATTATATAAAACGTCAGCCACTTTACGTGACCATTCTTATCCGTTCACTCTGTATATAAACTGTAGTGGCTCTCGAATCCAGTCGCGAGTCACTATCTCAATCACGATCGCCTTGACTTTTTCAAGGTTTACGTAGCCTTCTGAAATTAATGAGATCGTAAGTGTCTATTGTATGGAATAAAATGGTCTCGAAATCGTTCACTTCTCGTTAAGAGGTACAACCGTCACGAGAGAACAGACCCGGTTCGCGCAGCTTAGAGATAGTAGGGGTAACCGAATATATAGATCCGAGTAGTAGCAACGATGTGGACAGCATTAGAGAGAAGGAGAGAGAAATGCCTCCAGTGACCGAAAACTGGACTTTGCGCAGGTATGCTCTCTCGTGACGGCGAGTATTGGTTCGAGTTCCACGACCCACTGAACGAGTCTGAATCCTACGTGACAATCTCAAATGCTTGGAGACATAAAACTAATTTCGTGAACTTCGGACATTTCGCTCCGAATAATTTGTCCTTTACTCATACTTTGATAAAACGAAATAGCAATTGTCTTACCTGGAACGCGGAATACCTGACAATTATCTCGACCATTCTTACTCAATTATTCGTCGCGAACCGTTCCATCTGTCCCAACACTCTAGACACGAGCGCGGGTAGACACGTGCTTAATATGAAACGTGTTTGCTAGAGATGCTAGACTAGGAACACTATCTTATCGAAAAATTTCTCTTGTTCCACTTGCGTACAACGATCGAAACTTAAGCGCACGTGATAGAGACCTCTTGAATTTGTTTTCTTTTTTCTAACAGACGGCACACGTGCACCAAATAACCGAGAGACCGTCTGGGACTAGGAAATCCGTGCCTGTTTCGAGGCGCGACTTACGCGGTCGATTAAAATGTTCGTCTGTAAAAAAGCGATACTGACAAGTGCGTAGGCGCTTCATTAATATGCATCGATCTAGTTTTTTTAAACTATGCGGAACCAGCTCGGTCGGACGGGTTCGCGTAACGCGATCGTATCTCTTCTTACGAATTCCGAAGGATATCCGACGACGGTAGACGTAGACGTTCGAGTCTTCCGATGAGGGGGAAAAAAAAAAAGAAAAGTAGGAGAAGAAACGGAGCAATTCGGTCAGAGTTTTCTACTTGTTCCTACTTAGGACTCGCGTTCCGATGAATAATTCATCGGACGTAGACTCTGTAATCGTTGCGTTCTCGGAGCGAGAGGATAAAAGCCGCGCAGCCAATAACAAACAGAGGAAAACCAAGCGGAAACAATCGATCGGTAGATCGCGAATAGTCCCACCACTGCCGATCGCCGTACCGCGTCGCGTAATTCTTCTAACTCGCGTCCTAATCCCGATCGATTCCAGGTAGAAACAGAGTCCCTTCTCTTCTATTAATACTGGTTCAGAACAGTTATTCAATCACGATCTATCTACTTAGAGTTTGATGGAGCACATTTTTATAAAAGTGGCGCGAAGCAAACGTTCGTCGAACGCCGAATCGTCCGCGGGACTTGTTCGAGCGTGGTACATACATGAAACGCGACGACGACGGAAACACGAAAGTAGAAAGTTTCGAAATGGGCGTGTTACGAGAGCCCTACTGATGCCAATTCCCGATGTACGACTCGATTCCTACCGCGCAACGGTTCCGTCAAACGAGTCAACGGATTATGTATTATCGTTGCAACAACGTTACGACGTTACAACATATCGGTTCGAATATTGTTATTATTCGTCGATCACTTTTTCAACTCGATCGTAGATATGTATCTTCAATATGATAATTTTGAAACGCTCTCGAGACGATTTCTTTTTACACGGCGGAATTGAAAATACGTTTATTGATAGTAATGAACGCCGACGCGTTTAATAAGAGTAGATTCCAGTCACGTCCCGCGTGTTTGCATTTAAAATCGGGTCTGTGAAGAAGCGCGAGAATTCTAGCTACGTCCCAATCCGTGTTAGGATCTCTCGTCGTTAGGATTTTTATGCGTCTGTATAAAATGTTCGTAGACAAATCCAGGGTATACTTCGTATTGCCTACTTACTTTGTAGAAAAGTGAGATACCGACATAGGAGTCTCTCGTTTTCGAGGACTCATGGCTGTTCACGGTTCATCGCGAAAACCGTGTATATACACACCGTAGTGTGTACACCTTGACACGAATGATCGGTTCGAAGGGAAAGGAAGGCTCATGAAAGAAAGTGGCAAGGTTCTCAAGGAGCGCGACCTCGAGTCTCGGTCTCATAATTTTCGCGAACTAGCGAATATATACTCCACTCGGAATAGTCTCAATTTCGAGTTCCGTTCGAAGGCTTCCGGCGCATGTCACGGCGCAACGAGATATCACGCGAGCACGTTTCGTGCTCGCTACGGACGTTATTTTCCACTTTGCAAAGTGAATAATGCGTTTATGAAGTTTCCTGTTGTCGCGCACGATATATATACATACTTAAATGTAAATGTAAAGAAGCTCGGTCCCGTGCCGAGAGGAAACGTTCCCGTGTAAGGAGCCGACGATGTTTATTTATTCGCAAGGAAAGAGTACAATTGGACCTGTTCGGATCTGAAAGAAGAGTCGCGACTTGGTATTAACGCGTTAAGTAAGCATCGGCCGAGCGTTTTTTAAACGTTCTCCGAAAACTGCGGGCAGAGGCATACGGCGCGTCGGTAAACGTAAACCCCCATTTAGCCATCGTGCAATCATCCAGAGATCGCGACGCGAATTACCGATGGACGATTCGATCGCCCATCGAATTTCCCGATTCGTCCGACCGTCGATAATAAACTTCGCCTCCGTTGGAGATAAAAAAAATGATCAGTTCAAAGTGCGAGTTTACGAATTGCGCAATGATTCGATTGTTATTTGTTACTTAAGATTGCCGGTCTTAACCGCGCCTTCCGGAAACTATGCTTAGTCATTCGTTTTCCAAAGAAGTTAATAAGATCGCTGTTTGTTCAATCGCGATCGATCGCTGACGAATTCGTTCTGGTTCTATCGCTGGGATAAACAGCGATACGGAAATCTGTGGCAGGTTACAAAATGGTCGATTGTTTAATTACAATTACGCGATCGTCGCACACGTGTACGATATGCAACAATTGTTGGCACGCAGGATCGCCGATTCTATCAATAGCGCGTCGTCGCATCGCGTATCTTTATTTTTGTACGTAACTCGGCGCCGCGGTTGATACGAACTTTGAGTCGTTCCCGGTTATCCTAAATTCATCGATTTGTTCGATGCGATGCCGATCGGGTGAAACGATCGAGAGAGATACAAAAATTAATCGGAGGCGCGGACGACGATCAAGGCTCCTCCGGCGATTTTCAATTGCAATCGTTGTTTTCCGGCGATGGATCAATCGATGACGGTGCATAACTCGCGATTACAGAGACGCTCGCAACATTACGCCATGCGAAATTCGTTCCAATTAATGGAACACCGGCGCTCGACCTTCGGGTTAATCGTCCGACGAGTATTTCGTTAAATAAACGCGACGTGAGCGTCTTTGCGATGATTCAGCCCGCCGACACATGCATACATGCAAACTCACTTATTTCCATCGCGAGAGTCTACGTGAGTTTGCTAATCCCGATAACGGGAAAGAAAAGGGGGCGATAGTCAAGTAATTTTGCGTGTCACCGCGATTCATCGTAATTCCACATTATGACGCGATCTCGCAATTATGACATTTTTAAACGGCGCCGCTCTAAATGATAAGAAAACTTTGAGTCCAAACGTACAAGAATTACTGCGTGATCGAGGGTCGAGGGGGGACCGGATGATCAGCTATCTGGCTGGTCGCAAAGATAAATGACGATTTCTGCGACGCGATAATTTCGCCGTTACGTAATGTTTCGCGGATATTTTTGTCCGAAAACCGTCACTGCTAATTACGGAAACGTGCGGAACGAATGCCGAAGGACCGATTGCGACGCGCGGAATCGGTAGGAGGAGGAAAGATCGATGTTAACAACGAAACATATTTAAACACGGATGTGTTTGAACAAAATCGATTCATTGGAAAGTTTTCAGCACGAATGTGATTTTAAATCGCAGCGCGAACGAGAGTTACGGATTCGCGCGCGATCCTCCGATTGGATGAATCGGGCCGGAACGGCCAGATGGCGCTCGACGCACCGAATTCAAGAAGAAGATTTGCGACACGCGACGACGATTGGTCGAGCCGTTTCGGTGTGTGCGATCGTATGGGAACGAGTGAGTCGCTGCAGGGGAGGAAGAGAGAGAGAGAGAAACGAGCGCGTGTTTGCTCGCACGGGGTTCGTTATTCGTGCTCGTTGCTAATCATTGTTATCGGCATACCACGTAAACGTCGGTCGATTTATAACGCGAAGGAGCCGGCATTAAATGCACGCAGTGACTGAATCGGCCCGGAAGCTGCGTTCCGAGAAAATAATCTTTTTGTGGCTGTCACGTGGTTATCGTCGCCGCCACCGCCGTCGTCGTCTTCGTCATCATCATCATCATCGTCGTTGTGCAAAGCGGTAGACATTCGTCGAACGATCGTGTGTGCGCGCGCGCGCGTGCGTAAATCATTGTCGATTTTCCTGTCTGTCGACCAGTAGCATCGGTGGAGTCGTCTCGTGTTTCCTTGGTAGAAGCGGTAGAAGTGGCGCGCGAGCGTACGTACGCGTGTCATTGCCTCGTCTCGTCTAGTCTCATTTCGCGACTAAGTTCCATCGAACGAACGAGGTCCGGTGCTTGCGACCACGTCCAAATTCGCCGATTTGAGAAACGGTTCGTGGGTGCCTCTGTTCGATCGTGAACGGAGCGTCGGACGTGTGCAATGAGTGGCAGCGGGACGATGAACGGAGAAAACAGAGGACGGAATGGCCACGTGCTCGTGTGGGAGCAGACGGGCTTGGAAGAAGAGGACAGACCCGTGGAGAAACGTAAATGTGAGCTAAATCCCGAAACTAATCTCGATGTTAAAATTCTGCGAATCGTTTCGACTCGAGAGTGGTAGTTCGATCGAAACGAGTTCGCCGGCCGGAGGAACTCTTCGTCGTAGAGTACACGGTGTATCGCATATCCCGTAAAGCGCGCATCGAGCCACGTGCTCGCATCGCCGCTCTCCCTGTTTCTCTCGCTCTTTCGTCCTTTTTCCTTTCCTCGTTCCCTGCCGTTCCTGTTCATACCTGACTGATGCCTGGCATGGCCATTCGTAAAGGGGAAGGGGACAGGTGGAGATTCGCAGAACTCGCTGTTTGCTCACCGACGAGCGTCCCCAACTTTTACATTCAAAAATCGTCACGGGCAAGCACATATTTTACTTTCCGCTGTTCTGACCGTCAACTTTTCGATCTGTGCCTCTATTCCGTTCCCTGACATTCTTGCCCTTTCGAATCGCACGGTCTCTCATGCCCGTTGGCAAAGGTCCTAACGTTTTCCAAGCAGAATGAAGCCGAAAAAATGGCTGTACTATAGTCAGAAGAACGTTTCATTCAAGATACGCATGGATATATTTGTATATGACCCGAGATTCCACTTCTAATGATAGCGATCGCGTGCGCGAGAGGAGCACACGGGCACGCATCGCGTTTACGGTGGTCGATGTCACGTGCGAGAGCTGTCGTCATCGCGTAACTCTCCTTTTCCCTCCCGCTTTTTCGCCCCTTCGTCTCGTTCGTTTTCGTTGCTACTTTACGCGATGTTGATACTTACGTATGCAGCGGTGCTATTTTCCGCCGTCCAACGCGAGCAAGCGCGAACACGTGCTCAATGAATGTTCGACGATTGCCAACCACGCTATGTACTTAGGCCATCGGCGGTTTCAGTGAGTAGGAATTTACACAGTCGCGTCTCACACACGCACACACGGAACTACGGGCGAGCGTTTAATGAAATTATATCTCTCTCCGTGAAAAAATGTACGGTTTACGATCGACGGCGACAGCCCGATGATTTTAAAAAGCGCTAATCGGCCGCGCCTGTGATTCGAGGCCAGTTTCGGTTTATCGATTTAATGTTTCGATTAGAAAATCGTAAAGATTCGAAACGACCCGTGATCTTTTAACAGAGTTATGTCACGAGCGTGCGAGATATCCATTGTACGTATCGAGGTATATCGCGTATCGTACGTAAGTAAAAAAATTTCCAGAGCCGACCGACTGTCGTAGGGTTTAATCAAACGTCGTCCGACCGCTTAACCCGCGACCGAGGATTTACTCTCGGCAAATTACGCTCGTTCGATCGTTGCAACCAGCGTCTAAGAATCACTGCCTACACGCGGGGCGAGAGGAGGACGAGTACAAAGTTCAAATCGAGCGTTACCAAAAAACTTGTCTGTATCGTTTAAACCAGAATCTGGTCGTAATTTGTTTTAGGACTCTTGCGCAATCTATAACGTTCGGCATATCCGAATATCCGTTGAAGCATCGAAACTTTTAAATCCATTTCGATCATACGTTTTTTTTTTTGGGTGGGGAAAGCCAGAACACGTTTACGTTCTGAGGAAGGAATTTATTTGACGGTATTTCTGTACCAGCGAAAAGTATCGGTCGTCAGCTTATGTTCATCCGCGAGGAGGTAATCGTCTCAGAGAAAAACAGCAGTAATTGCATTCCGAAAATAGACCTCGCGTCGCGTCTATTATTACAGCCGTATTATTATTTCAATGTCCATCGACGCGAGAACAATATACTTATAAATAACAGCGAGAACGAGCGCAACAACGTTTCTCGAGTCGGACCGGTGCGGTGAAGCGTTCGCTTCTTCCGGCAATCGAAGAAAACGACCAAATGGGGGTTGGCCGAGAGAGCCTCGCCTCGACCTTGCTCATGGCCATTCTCGATGTATCTCGTCCGTGATTCTCGGTTCGCGGACACCAGCTGTTTGCCTATCTCGGCTGAGCAGCAAATAAATAAATGAGAATGTTCCTCGCTTGTTTGCAGCGCTGATTGGCACGCGCCATATAGTGACCTTCATGCTGTTCCTTGGAATGGCGAACGCTTACGTGATGAGGACGAATATGTCTGTGGCCATTGTGGCGATGGTCAACCATTCGGCAAGTATCGAAGAGCACGATGATGTTACCAACGAATGCGAGTGGGATACGAGCAATACTACATCCGTAAGTGCAATCGTGTACTGCGGCTCGAACTGAGGAGAATCTTTCTTAATTTTGGTTGCACGCTGTACTCGAATAAACTAGATTCTTAAATTTAACAATAATTCTCGTTGTATTGTGCGAGAAGAAAAATGTACTTTTACGAGCTAATCACGTCCTGTTCCAATCCGATCGTATTAATCGTTTATTAATCTTTTCGCAAAATCATTGCCCAAACACATTTACAAGATGTTAACTAAATCTAAAAGAGGATTAACGTTAAGAAAGATCGATATCGAACTGATAATAATATCGACGTCGATGTTGACGTGGTGATAATTCTCCGAAGGAATGCGCGTATGTACCCAGTTGATTGAATTTCGTGTCGTTTGGTTCACCAGGATAAGAGCAGCGACGGCGAATTCGGATGGGACACCAAGAAGCAGGGCTACCTGCTCAGCTCGTTCTTCTATGGCTACGTCATCACGCAGATCCCGTTCGGGATACTCGCGAAGCGTTACGGATCCAAATACTTTCTCGGCATCGGCATGCTGATCAACTCCGTGTTCGGACTGCTGGTACCTCTGTCCGCTCGCGCCGACTACTATTGGCTCATGGCCGTTCGATTCATTCAAGGCCTGGGCGAGGTAAGCGATCTTGAAGCGTCACTCACATTCGTTCTCTCACCCCGTTTTTTCAAACAGCCGACGGCAATTAAGTAAAGACGCGCTTCGAAACAAAAGTCGAAATAGATAACGTGTGTATCTATCTATGCATTAAACGAGGATATAAAAATCCCCTTAAGTGTAAATCTCGTTGAACGCTTTTTGATCGTTCGGGTGTATTTCCTGCCCCTAGGAATGGATTATCCCTATTGCAGGGTCCAATCGTGCCTTGCACGCACGCGTTGCTGGCGAAGTGGATACCGCCGAATGAGCGCAGCAGGATGGGAGCCTTCGTCTACGCCGGTAAGCTCGACGCGACGATACTCTTTCTCTCACCTACGTAGCCCTATCGACCCGTGTGTGGTATGCCGACTCTGGGACCTACCGGGCCGCTTCTTTTCTTCTACCATTATTACCACCCGTGTTACCTGTGTACCTACTGCTATTATTGCTATTCGCTCTTCGTCATCGAACGTTCGAACGGTTCCCTATCTCCTCAATTCTTTCTTGACTCGCCACTCTCGTTCTCCTTAATCGATCTCCTTTTTTGTTTGTCTTCTCGACGTACAGGAGCGCAGTTTGGAACAGTGATCTCCATGCCATTGAGCGGCATTCTATCTGAACACGGTTTCGATGGCGGCTGGCCGTCGATCTTTTACGTGTTCGGAATAGTGGGCACCGTCTGGTGCATAGCGTTTCTCATAATAGTCTATGAGGATCCGGATAGTCACCCTCGTATCGCCGAGGACGAGAAGAAGTACATTCTGAGCGCGCTCTGGGGCAGCGCTGGAGTTTCCGTGAGTACATTCTCCACCCAAACGGTCATTCCATTCCTCTCAAATACGTGTAGTTGATTCAATAACTGGTTCTGCACAGTCTCCTCCTGTGCCTTGGATGTCGATTCTCACTTCGTTACCATTTTGGGCCATTCTGATCGCGCACATGGGCCAGAACTATGGATATGAGATGCTAATGACCGAATTACCAACGTTCATGAAGCAAATTTTACACTTTGACATTCAATCGGTAAAACCTTATCTTGATTCACTTTCTTAACAATTGAACTTTGTACTGCATTCGTTCCGAACAATGATGAACGAAACGATGATACGTTGCTTTTCAGAATGGAACCGTATCTTCCCTTCCCTACTTGGCGATGTGGCTCTTCTCTATGCTGATCTCGCACGTAGCCGACTGGATGATCTCCAGCGGGAGATTCCAGCACACGACAACGAGGAAAATCGTGAACAGCATCGGTCAAATTGCACCCGCCATCGCTCTCGTGGCTGCTTCCTACACAGGCTGCGACACTTGGCTAACGGTGAGCATCTTGACGATCGGCGTCGGTTTAAATGGCGCCATATATTCCGGGTTCAAGGTGAACCATTTGGACATCTCGCCAAGATTTGCCGGTATTTTGATGTCCTTTACCAATTGTCTGGCCAACCTAGCCGGCCTACTGGCGCCCATCGTCGTAGGACACATAATCGTCGGACCGGTAAGTGCCGCCTTCTTTATCTAGTCGTATTCATTGATACCGAATCGTAATCTTACGTTCTCGTTACAAACATACGACGGCGTAATTTCGCAATTGCGATTTTTCTAAACACACCGACGGCCGAACATTACACGTGGCGCGGTGACCTCTAAAATTAAAATTAACTGCACTGACTAATCCTACGCGTGTGTGTTTAACTAGACATGAAATAGGGAGTTTCGATCTACGCAAATATAAAGAACAGATAATACAGGAGAGACAGGGTTACGACACGTGATAAAAACGTTTATTCGACTTGTTGCAGGCGACACAAGCGAAATGGAGGCTCGTGTTCATGATTTCAGCAGGAGTGTACATAGCGTGCTCGTTGTTTTATGTAATATTCGGATCCGGGAAACGGCAGTTCTGGGACAATCCAGAAAATGACGATGATAAACAGCACGAGAAGGAAGGACTGGAGAGTGTCAAGAGTATAACGGAGACGCAGCATTGACCAACAGATCGGACAACTTAGCTTCCGTCTCGTTGCGTCCTCTTGTTCCTCGTTCCTTAAAGAGTTCCCTAAAAACGCGGTTGCCCGATTATGCCTTTCCATGGCCCGTTCCTCTCTCGTCGATCGCGTGTCGCGCCACTCGAGTCGGACCCGATCGTTCGTAGATCGTTGAACGATTGATCGATCTGGCCTGGTCGTGTGGATCGACGCGCATTCTAGAAGCGAGCGACAACGCGTCGCAGACACCGTCGTCGGTGTACAGTAAAACAATAGAAACAAAGAAAAACAGATACCGCGAGGAGGAGGAAAAAGAAGCGAAGGCGCGTACTCTCGTCGAAAAGAAGAGACACGGTCGAGAAAACTACGATTCCTGATTCGTCGAACATCGTCGCCTGGACGAATATATTTTTCTTCCCTTTTCTGCGCACATGACGCGTTTGTTCTTTGCTCTTGTGGCGAGTCAGATCGTGCCCAAATATTTGTGGAGCAAGTGAGACGAGTTAAATCGGATCTCTTCGTGCCTGTATGTCGTCTAAAGACAAACCGAAGAACGACCGACCGAACGAACGTGTTTATGTGCGCGTGTGTGCAAGCAGAGGAGAGAGAGAATGATGATAAGCACGCAAGAAAGGAGAACAGGTAATTGTACGGTTTTCATAGCATCTTCATAACTCGTTTAAAAAACGTGATTTATGACCGAACGCCGTTAATCGTGCCGCGTGTTCGAATGCCTTTTCTCCATACTTTTCTATTGCGTGCGTATGAGCTTCGCCAGCCATTTGGAAAGATCGATCCAAGCTTCCGTCCGATTTGTCCGTGCACCGAATATTTGTTTGCACATCGCGTTGCGCGATAAACGAAGGAAAAAGGAAAGAAAAAAGGGAACGGCAGCGTCCGTTGGTGCGACGGGACGGGCACAAACGTAAGAACAGTATTAGAGCAGATTATCCTCGCGTCTCTGCCGCCTTTAGTCTCCGATTCGTTTATTTGCCGCGACGTTTTATCGCGAGCAACTGCCATTTTGTAATCGTAAAAACCGACGCCGATCGCGGGAAATGCAACACAATTCTGATACAAGACGAAATAATCAATTCCCAATTGAAAGGGGGAACTCCGTCTCTTCCAAATCGTTATAAGCACTCATGATGATGCAATACGATTATGGTTTATAAATATTGTAGATATTTTTACACATAGGTTTCTATCAAGTTGTAGACGTTAGACAACTTATTGCTCCTACTTATTTATGCAACGTGTACAAAGCGGAATGAAAGGATAAGAAAAAGACAGAGAAAACAAAGAGAGAGAGAGAGAGAGAAAGATAGAAGAGTGCGAGTGGATTTGCGTGGATGCAACATCGAGAGAATACGATATGAAAGTAAAAATTCTGAAGAAAGAATATTTATCCGCATAGTGGAATGCATTTTCTTTTTTAATTATTATTGTTGTTATCATTATTATTTTATTATTATTATTATTATTACTATTCTTGTTGGTATTATTACTTTATTAATATTATTGTTTCATTGTCTCGTTCGCTGCCATTCTCATTTTTTATTATAACATTTATTAGTATCATGAGTCATTGTTGTCGTCGTAATCTTCAGTTGTTAAATCATCTTTCTCTCGCGACATAAGCGAGTGCCAAAGCATTGCCCAAATACTTTGCTGTGAAACCAGAACGATCCGAAAGTGCCCCTTTTTCTTGTTTCGTTTCGCCTGCAATTATACTCTCGTACATGCGAGCCGTTATTACGGGTACAAAATGTTGTCGATCGAAACGCACAATTTTGCAAGTTCGCACGAGCAGATCGATCGAGAATACGATTGAAACTTAACGTTCAACTGCTGTGGAATAAGTTCAAGTACGATAAATTTATAAATTAACACAAGTCAGTTTATCTGTTATTAGTCTAACGAACAGACCATCGATGATTAACAGTCGTAAAAACAAAGACAAACGCTTGTTTCACAACTCCGTCGGGGATATATAAAACGAAATACATATTTGATCAATTGCGTAAGCCACTGTATACACATGTAAGTATATACACGCGATGGTTGGTCGCGATAAAATCATCGCGTACCCTCGAGTTTTCTCCGAAACGTGATTAACAGTGGAAATCTTCCGAATTACCGACTACCTTTCCATTCGTTATCGCATACCTTTCCTTCGGCCGACCTCTCCGAATACGATAATTAAGCATTGAACACGTTCCATATCGGAGGAGACATACTTCTCAGAGCCGAGAAAGAACGCTGCGATTTCTATTTACAGACGAACAAGTATACACGTTCAATTATTTCGGGATTTATCTTTAATTCGTATTATGATTAAGATCGACTGAAAGTACCTGCGTCTTGTGATCATCTCGATCTTTAAAATGTGCTTTCGATTTCGCTTCGAATTAATTAAAGAGCTTGAGCGACTTCATCGTTCGAAATAGTGCTCACGTGGCCTGAGGGTAGGATAGTATATTACGCGTCGGATTCGTTCCTATCTTTATATTCTATATTCTGTATTCTGTGTTCTGTGTTCTGTATGTCGCGACAGATTACATGCGTGGAGAGATATGTATACGCGTGTTGCGTGTGTGCTTGATGCGCGGGTTAACGATGGATGATCGCGATATGAAATATCTGTTAGTTGGGAAACTTTAGCCGAACAGTTCCAGCTATGCGTTCAGCGGAATTAAGTGCGAAACGATCGATTTAACGGTGAAATTAATATTTTTTATAAGAGTATTTATGATGACTGTCAATTAAGAAAAATCTGACGCAACTCCAATAGAGACCGTATGAAATTCATGACTTGTTAACGTCCAATATTGCGAGATGCACAACATTATTGTACACACGGGTAAATAAAATGTCGCTCAACGAATACCCGATACTTAAGTCTCCTTCGATTCCTTTCTACCCTTCATCGTTTATTTGAGATGCAGCGTGATTCTGTTCTATACATATTGGCTGGATTCAGAATTATTGCTTATTCTTAAGATCGTCATAAGAATTTGCTAATGTTGCGTGTGTGCTTGATGCGCGGGTTAACGATGGATGATCGCGATATGAAATATCTGTTAGTTGGGAAACTTTAGCCGAACAGTTCCAGCTATGCGTTCAGCGGAATTAAGTGCGAAACGATCGATTTAACGGTGAAATTAATATTTTTTATAAGAGTATTTATGATGACTGTCAATTAAGAAAAATCTGACGCAACTCCAATAGAGACCGTATGAAATTCATGACTTGTTAACGTCCAATATTGCGAGATGCACAACATTATTGTACACACGGGTAAATAAAATGTCGCTCAACGAATACCCGATACTTAAGTCTCCTTCGATTCCTTTCTACCCTTCATCGTTTATTTGAGATGCAGCGTGATTCTGTTCTATACATATTGGCTGGATTCAGAATTATTGCTTATTCTTAAGATCGTCATAAGAATTTGCTATCCCGGTCTATCCCTTGTTTCCAGTCCTTGTCTTGTACTACAAGGAACAGGGACTTAGGCAAATGCTTAAGACGATGTTAAGAATAAACAAAACTACTCTGAATACTAACTATTATCTCGACTTCTAGCGATCCGAATTGGATGAATCAAGGTATTCGTCGGTCCGGTCATTAAGTTTAATCAGCTCGCTATGAACAGGAATATCATGTTCCTGTACTAGGCTTAATCTTCCTCGTTGAGTTCTACTCCTTCAGCGTTAAAAGGCGATCACTAGGCCCTTATGTCAAGAGGCATCAATTGCAAGTTATTTCAATTAGTCTTAAGTGAAAGTGGGTAGATATCAGATTTTTGTATTCTGTAACTTGTTTATAAGTGAAATAAAGATCTTACTAAATATATATCTTATTATCTACTTAATCACCTGTCTATTACTCGTAGAATGACCAACATCCATTCCTTAACGAGAAGTATAACTCGAAATATTAGACCTCATTACCATTAAATTAGTTTGATAAGTACTTTAAATTTAGCCCTGAGAAATTCTTGGAAATAACGTCATCAGCAGGAGTTAGTGCCACCTCCTATTACCTTATGTCCTCCTAATACTTAGTTCAAATTTCGATCAAAACTTTTCTCTCGGAGAATTCTTGGAAATGACGTCATCACCAGGAGTTAGTGCTACCTCCTACCATATTATATTCTCCTAATACAAAGTCCAAAATCGGGCAAAAATTTAGTCAAAATTTTCACTTTGTATTAGGAGAACATAAGATGATAGGAGGTACCACTAACTAATTTAGTGCTACCTCCTTTCACTTTATATTCTCCTAATACAAAGTCAATTTTCCGACAAAAATTTTTTTCTCCGAGAATTCTTGGAAATGACGTGATTAGTAAGACTTAATGCTACCTCCTATGCCATCATATTCTCCTAATACAAAGTCTGATTTGGGCACGATTGGCACCCTTCAGATTTTGTGAAATTTTCGTTTTTTTGCCCATAACTCCTAAACCCTTGGAGATACGGGAAAATTACATAAGACCTTTCTTGTAGAGGACGGCGAGATCTACAATCTCTATATAAAAGTTCTTCGCTAGAGTCTATAATTTACGAGTAATTTGCAAAAAACTGTTTTTTCGTTTTTCGTCAATAACTCCCAAACGGATAGACTTAGGTGGAGGCGTTTATAGGATCGTTTTGTAGAGGACGACGAGGACTACAATTTTCGTATAAAAAGATTAGGCTAGCATTAATATTCAACGAGTTATTTGCAAAAAACGAAAAAACAGTTTTTTGCAAATTACTCGTAAATTATAGATGCTAGCGAAGAACTTTTATATGGAGATTGTAGATCTCGCCGTCCTCTACAAGAAAGGTCCTATGCAATTTTCCCGTATCTCCAAGGGTTTAGGAATTATTGAGGAAAAACGAAATTTTTTGTCAAAAGCGAAAGTGCTTGGCTCCAATATTGCTGCACCAGACAGAAAA